TAACCTGATGCTTAATAATCTAGGTAAGGGGCTAAAGAGACACAGCTCACAGTTAAGACACTGACTGCTCTTGAAGAGGACCCAGGTTTAAATCATGGTAGCTAACAACTGTCCATAACTCCAGTTCCAGAGGATCCAGCAGCCTCTTCTGTCCTCCATGGGCATTGCACGACACGGGTGCACTTACCTACATGCAGGCAATACACGCATACACATAAAATAAAAATAATAAAATATTTAAAAAAAAGGAATGTTCTAAAAGCATGATGAGGTAGACACAACTGAGTAACAATTTATAAAACTGTCCATATTCATTACATGTACTTTTCTAGATATGTGTACTATTTAACAGTAAGTATTTAGGTAAAAATAATTATATTTTGGCAACCTAAATCAAAACCACTTACTACCTCAGCCTGCATTACCTATTAAACTTTTTAAAGGATTGTTATAGTAATCTTTATTTTCACAATGTGCCATACATAATAACCATTCCAGTATTCTGTTAAATGCATCATCTCTTTATGGAGTTGTGTCCCGAGGGTACATGTTCCTCTAAGGGGTGGGGCCTGCTGCGGAGAATTGGCTTCCGAGAGTTAGACGTGGAGGGAGGGGCGTTGGCTCCATCTTGGCAGCAGCAGCATGGAAAAAAAAATGGCCCCAGTGTCTCTCTCCTCATGGATGGAGCATTTACCCCAGGCCAAAGAGACGTGGACAAAAGCTAACAGAGACTGTGAGCGGGCATGGAAGAGATCTGGAATGGTGGCCGCTGAGCCACAGAGTGGAATGGGGTGCTGGGTGTTCACCTTTGTAAGTCACTCTATTTCCCCTACCCAGGATATAAACAAGGAAAAGTTCAGATAAAGATGTGTTATGTGGTCTGTCTAATAGCACCAGGAGCAAGGGACCCTAAGAGATCTCAGGCCACAGGAGTGAAGACATATGAAAGAGCACAGATCATGCAAAAATATACAAAACTATGCACAATGCGAACACTGGTGAAATGTGAATATTCTCTGTCCATGTTCTCATTTTGTTAGTGTACTATATGAAAGATGACAACACTGTGGGGGAAGAGAAAGATGTGTGGGACCTATACATTTACTGGCAACTTCCTGTGGATCTATTAATTATTCTGAGATAAAGGCTTTTTTAAAAAAATGAATGTATATGGCTGGACGAGGACAAAGAGTGGAGAAACACAGTAAAACAGTACAATACACTAATAACATGTAATCTGTAATGAATAACTGAGGATGTTCTACCTTTTAATCTAGTGGTTTTCCTGTCTTGCATTTATTCTTACTTGGATGCATGCCCCAAAGATACAAGCTAAGCACTTTGTCACAACACTGTTTATGTTCATCACTTTTCCATGGTTTTGTTTTCCAAGGTTTCAGTTACCCAGGGTTAGAAATGGTCCAGAAGCAATTTTTAAGTTTTGGATCATGTGCCATTCTAGTAGTACGTCAGATTCTCATATTATCCAACTCTGTCCTGCCTGGATTATGAGTCTTTTATCTTTGTCCAGTGTATCCTGGGCATTAGTGAGAGCTATTTCAGTTTATACTGGCTGTACTGGCATCACAACCCTTACAATTACAACTTGATGCTATCCTTGGTTTTAGTCATCACTGGGAGTCAGGTACTGAGGATAGGACAGGAGCACTCTACTTGTAAACCAACTATCCAATAGTAGAGAACTAATTCAAAGATCTAGCTGAAAAGCAAAGTAACTGCAAATGTTTAGACTAATAGTGTATGAAAGTTGTTTGTGACATGCTGATTTGAAGAAATGATTCCAGGGGGCAGAGTTGGCTCAGCAGTTAAGAGCACTAGCTGCTCTTGCAGAGGACCTGGGTTCGATCCCCAGCACCCACATAACTCCAGTTCCAAAGGAATGCAATGTCCTCTTCTGACCTCCATGGGCATTGCATGTCATGTGTGTGTTCACTTACAAACATGCAGGCAATACATTCATACATATAAAATAGCAATAATAAATAAGTGATTCTAAGGTAGCATGTATAGCACCTGGTCTTTATATACAGGTAAAATACAGGTATTTATATATCTTACAGATAGGTGCACAGAGAAACATATAGGTCAATGTATGCAACAGGAATTATCTCTGGTTGGTGAAATTAATAGTAATTTTGGGGAGCTGGAGAGATGGCTCAGCAGTTAAGAACACTGGTTGTTCTTGCAGAGGACCCGAGTTCAATTCCCAGCACCCACATGGCAGCTAACAAATGTCCATAACTCTAGTTCCAGGGGATCTGACAGCCTCTTCTGTCCTCCATGGGCACTGCACGACACAGGTGCACTTATCTACATGCCGGAAATACACTCATTCACATAAAATAATAAACATTTTTTTTAAAGTAATTTTGTTCTTATGTTTTATTTTAGTTACCTGCCCAGTTCCAAGGGAATCCCTTGTCCTCTTCTGATCTCCACAGGCATAGCATGTCACGAGTACGCTTACAAACATGCAAACAATACACTCATACACATAATAAATAAAATAAATGATTCCAAGGTAGCATGTGACATCTCACTTATAACCTCAAATAACCTAGTCTTTATAAAAAGTTCTTACTCACAGCTCAGAAGTTTCAATGTACTTTGCAGTTCCTTCAATAGTGTTACAATATTCTGTAGCAAATTTGGTAATGAGCTGGAGTAAAGTAGCACTTTTATCATCCACAGGTTCACCATAGCTATTCAGGAGGGACTGATACTGAGCAGCTAGAACATTGATCCTTGTCTTCAGTTCTGGTAAACAATCTCTGATGTGATGCATAAGTAACCTGGGAAAGATCAGAAAGGCAAGATTTAATGTAAAACCAAGTGTTCTGATACTACAAACAAGTCCATTTTTAAAATGCAAACAAAAGACGAATTAATTGTCAAATAATCTTAGCAAGTATGTGTTCTCAAATATGTATGTGGTGGTCTTCACCCCCATTTTCCTAGTATTCGGGTCTTAAGTCTTGGAATCTCCAACATGTTAAAAAGTGTCTTTTGTACATTAATGAGACGATTAGTGGCTGGGATCCTTAAGGAGCTCCAGATGGGAGCTGGTTACCAGAAAGATAAGAAAAGACTAAAGGATGGGGGTGATCAATCCCAATCTCTGATGTCTCCAGAAGAGAAGTTGAAGGTCATGTTGACTGCAATAGCTAACAACATAATAAATCTTATAAAGAAAACTGTTGTTGAAACTTAAGGACAGAGTTCAGGAAACTAAATACAGAAGTTTCTAGAGCACAGCAGGCCCACAGAAGTTATGAAGTTCTGGTATATGGTTCAATATTCCATATGCCTTAACCTTATAAACCTCTTCCAACTAGTTCATCTGTATCCTCTGTAATAATCCTTTATAATAAATGTAACAAATAATCCTTTATTTATATAATAAATATAAATAAAATGTTCCCTGAGTCTTATCTCCCACTCTAGAAAGTTAAGTAAACCCAAGGATGGGATCATGGGAAGTTAGACTTATAACCGATCAGAAGCATAAGCCAGAACCTTTGCTAGCAACTGACACTGAGACCTATAGGATCTGATGTAATCACCACAAACAAAGTCAGCCTTTCTAATTCCACATATAATTTTGGCTTTATAAGCTAATATTTTAGAAGAAGTACCCAGCATAGTATAAATAAATCCATCTTACTGAGATCCAAATCTACCTGCCTTTAATTTAGAAGAGAAATGATTTTCGCTCTAGTCATTTCTACTATGATCAAGAATGGCTGTCTAGTTCATATATTAATAGGTATTCAGAATATAAGGTGTATTTGTATGAGAATTTCCAAATTAAAAAACAAATTATGTAACAATTGAAAACTTTAACTAAATTCATGAAATCAATCTAGTGTTTTGAAGACATGTGACATCTCACTTATAACCTCAAAACTAAATTGTCAAACCATATAATTAAGAAAATTCATTTGAATATTCATTCTAGACTACATAATTTAATGTCAAGCATCACAATAGCTATCTGCTGTCTACCAACCTACTGTAAAGAAACCATGACGCTTTAAGAACAATATGAAGACAAGAAGCTCATCAGGAACACTCTAAGGTACCTGTTGGCAAAACAAAAACATCTCCTTTTCAAAGGCAGAGAACATTACCTATTCAGAGTCCGAGCAAGATATTTCGTTCCATTTCTGTTAGCCAGAGATGGGTATTTCTTTTGAAGAAAAGCGTATTCATCCCGGATTGAATCAGTTACACTCTTCTTATTGTTGATATCTAGCTGGCTCCTATGGTAGAAAACAGCAAACCTGTCCAACTAATGCCAACTATCATCCTTTCTCTGCTCTACAACATGGCAGTGTTAGCAACAGGTATTGTTCCCTAATTTCTCATCTTATTCTATATGATATGCATTGTTATTTTTTGTATCAAGGAACTGATGTTTTAGTAGATTAACTGACCCACGGTAGGCAGAGAAACCACAATTTAAATTAAACGACTTAATATTTAAGGCCTGAATAGTAAAGACTTTCTTGTTACCATTAGCCTGTACTCAAAAGCAGTATACTTAAGTAGCAAATTGTAGACAGGCATAAAAATATATTTTTAAGAAAAATTATTTTCTCTCTAAAAACCTATTTTTAAATGCGTACAACTGTTTTGCCAGCATGTAAGCACACCACATCCATGTGTTGCCCACAGAAGCCAGAAGAGGGCATCAGATGCCCTGGAACTGGAATTATAGACAGTTGTTGGCCATCCATATGGGTGCTGGCAACCGAACCCAGGCCCTCTGCAAGAGCAGCCAGTGTAGTGCTATACCTGCTGGACCATTTCTCAGCCCCCTAAAATTGTATCTTAATCATTTATACTTTATCCTTGGCAGGTAACTAAATTCTACCAAAAATGATTCTACTTCAATACAAATACAAATATAAAAAGCAGTATTATAGCACCTACTTTATTGAAAAGGAAAACAGTTGCAACTTTTCTTTAAAAGAACAGGAGTAGACAGAAAGACATATGAATAAAAAACAGACAACTGGAAGGAGATATAGAGATCACTAAATAAAGTATATTTAAATGACTTGAGACCCAAAAGAGGTTGGTTGTGATTTAAACCCATATTATATCTAATCTGTGTAAGAAACTAGAACTCAGGTCTCTTCATAACTACAGGGTTTCCTTACACTACAAAAGCTTTGAACTAAGAGAATTTGTTATCTGAACCCAGCTCTGCCTTTCACTAGCCATGTTACTTCGTAAATATATAACCTGAGTTTTCTGATTACAAAAGACACCAAAATGTATCTCTTGAGGTATGAAAATTCCAAGGATACCACTGGCAAACTGCACACTGTATAATCTCTAAACATAATTAGACATTCAATAATAGTTGGTTTCCCAACTGCACCTAAGGAAATTTTGGTAATCGATGATGGCTGCTGGGACAGGTAGAGACAGTCTCTTTCAAGGATGGGACTTTTGGTAGGTAACCAGGCTCCAATGGGTGGACTCACACTGAAGGACATTTGGGGATACAAATTAAGATTCTATAGTCATACACACACACACACACGTATATGAAATTGGAGGGAGCAATAAAGGGAGATGTGGATAGGGGAGGGGATCTAAATACAATCAAATTACACTGTATGAAAAATTGCAAAAATTCAACTAAAAATGTTTATTAAAAAGTTGATTTCCTTTCTACAAATGTTAATAACAGCAATTTATAATTAGGATATCTTTAAAGTTTCCAAGTCACATCCTGGCAATGCTAGGGAGTCAAAACAATCATTAAACTCCTATCAGCTTAAACTTTTTAAACTGGGTATAAATTAGATAATACTTTTTTTAAATCTAGTACCCTCCTCATAAATCTTAAGTAGTACACAAGAATACTTAAAACCTGGTTACTCAATTATTTTCTATTTTGTGGCAGATTACTTTAGAAATGTCTTCCATTAGAAAAGTCAGAGAGAGAAAAAAAATTTTTTGAGGGTCCAGTGAGATGGCTCTATGGGTCTTGCCAAACCTGACACCCAAATTTAATCCCTAGAACCCACATGGTGGAGAGAACTGACTCCACAATGTCCAACCTCCACACATATAAATAATGCTTAAAAATAAAAAAAATAAAAAATCCTAAACCAAAAGAAATGTCAAAGAGGCTTTAGTGAATCTCATATCTCTTTGCAGTGCACTGAATTCTGCAGCAATACCAGCACGAAAGCAGAAACAAAAAACAGGTAATACCACATTTCACACTGATTTTTTTTTTTTAAACCTTTCTTTCCTCTTTTTAAAAAATTGTATTTTTTTAACATGTAAAAGTGTTTGCCTGCATATATGTATAAGCAGCATGTGTGTGCTTGGGTGGCCTCAGAAGCCAGACGAGGACATCTGGAACTGGAGTTATAGACAGTCATGATCCGTCTCCTTGATGTTCCGCAGAGCAGCCAGTGCTCTTAACCACAGAACCATCTCGCTGGTCCTGATTTTTAAAAATTCAGACTTGCTTTGAAATGAAAACGCTCAAATTCTGCCTCTTTCTCAGCTGCTAACCTGTTAACTACTCCAATTATCCCAAGCTTGACAGGAATAACCCTTCCCATCAGTACATCCATGGCGTCAGTACCCGCATCCATGAGATCAAGTTTGGTAATAACAGCTAGAGTTCTGCGACCTGGTAAGTGTAAAAAGAGAAGGTGTTATGTTTAATAAAGAAAAATCATCCATAAGTCCATCTAACACATTACTACTCTCACTATTTTAGTAATACTTTCTAACCTTTGCTTCCAGTACTTTATTAAAAAATAATTTTAAATATGGCATGAACATGTTTTCATGAGTCAAAAGTTTACTTTTTTATTTTTAACTATGTGTCTATGTGTGAGTATGTACATGAGTGCAGATGCCTATAGAGGTCAGAAGAGGTTATTGCATCCCCTGGAGCTGGAATTAACAGGCAGTTTTGAGATGAAAAAAGAAGGAGCTCTGGTCCTCTGCAAGAACAGCAAGCACTCTTAACTGCTGAGTCATCTCTTCAGCTCCATGAGTAATTTCTTGTTAACTCTTAGGATAACCTCTCTAAGCACTTTAAAACTTGCTTAATATTTACTATTAGGTATACAATTTGGGAGATCCCCCTCCGTTTGGCAGTACTAGAGATGGGACCTAATGCCTTGGGCATACTAAACAGTCACTGTACCACTGAACTACATCCTCAGCGCCTAATAATTTTATTATTTTTAATAAGTCCATCACCTCAAGACAACAGTTCCACCCCACCCCCAGTTTTCTTACGTTAAGCAACCAAACCTGTTTTCAGCCCTAGTTTTGCCTTTATTAGAACACTGTATGAATGGAATTGTGTCATACATACCCTTTTGAATTGGTTTCTTCCTCTTAGCACAACTGAGAGTCATCCATGTTATAGTGAACAGTAATGATTGAACCAGTTTTCATTGTTGAATAATGTTCTTGTATGAATGTACTAGTTTGATTATTCATTTTCCATTTGAGAAACATGCTATAGATATTTTTATCTACATGTTTAGGTATATGTTTTGTTTTAAAAATGTATTGTATTTATTCTAGGGGGAGAGGAACATAGGCACACATGCTAAACAGCATGTGTATGGAGGTCAGAAGAGAACTTTCAAGAGTTGGTTTTTCTCCTACTACATGAGGTCTGAGATCGAACTCAGGTATCGGACTCGGTGGCAAGTGCCTTTACTTGCTGAGCCATCTTACTAGTCCTTGTTTTGAGACAGATATTTATGTACTTGTGGTGGTTTGAATGAGCACTGTCCCCCGTAGGATCAAGTATTTGAATACTCTGTCACCACGTGGCATTGTTTAGGGAAGTCATGGAATGTTAAGCAGACATGATGGAGGAAGTATATGACTGGGAGCATGGGCTTTCAGAATGCTTAGCCTCACCCCACTTCAGTTCACTCACTCTCTGCTTCACATTTGTGGTGGATAATATGATCTCTCTACTTCCTGCTCAGGATACTTATTGCCATGCTTTCCCATAATACCCCTGCATTATGAGCTCTTAGCCCTCTGGAACCATAAGCCAAAATAAACTATAAGTTGCCTTTGTCATGGTATTTCTTACAGTTAATAGGAACATAACTAGTACAGTGGGCAACCTTAAATTCATAATCCTTCTGTCTCGACCTCCTGGGTGCTAGGATTACAATGAGCTAGTATGCCTGACTTCAAATAGATTTGCATTAAGAACATTTAATATGATATTGCTGATTTAAAGTTGTAAGACATTCCCATTTCCCAAGGTAAATATACCATTCTACATATATGTAACAATTCCAGCTGTTCTGCAGGTACACTTTGAAATAGGGTACTGTTCGGTTATCAACACTTCTCTTTTTCTCCAAATCTACAAAAATCACCCTTTAGTTATCTCATGTTACCATCATTTATTTGCTAACCACATTAAGTTTCTTCTAAATTGGTTATAATTGCTTTTGTGGATGTGCATGTTCATGTGCATGTGTGTGATGTGTTTCTGTGTGGGTGTGCTTACACATGTGTATGTAGGGCTCAGAAACTGACATTGGGTATCTGCCTCAATGGATATTTCACCCTATTTCTAACAGGTTCTCTCACTGAACTTGGAACTTATCAACTGACTAGACTGGCTGGCCAGTAAGCTATAGAGGTCTGCCTCCCCTGCAGTGCTGGGGCTACTGAGGCACGTCCCAGTACATGAGTCCTCATTCTTGCATGATAAGCACTTTATGACTGGGTCATCTCTCCAGCCCCACTTCTAAATTTTGGGTAATAGACATAATAATTAGTTGTATTATTTCACCATAATGTATTAGCAAATTAAATTACTAGATCAAAATATGGTGGCCATGCTTATTGTTTGGGAAATTCATATAACTTTTTAAATTTTATTTTATGTGTTATGAGTGTTTTGCCTGCATATATGTAAATGCACCCATGTCATGCAATGCCCATGGAGGCCCTAAGAGGGCATCAGATTTCTTGGAACTTGAGTTACATATGATTCTTAGGCACCATGTGGGTGCTAGTAACAGAACCCAGGCCCTCTGCAAGAACAGCCAGTGCTCTTAACTGCTGATCTCTCTAGCCCCTAATTACTATTATTATTATTAGTTTTGCCCCTAATTATCACACTTAGCAGTAACATTTCCTATCAAAATTTTATTTGAAATTCTTCTTCAAAGCAGGAAAGAAAACTATAACATATGTCAGATATGAGGTGAAACAAAACTGGTTTTCTTATGGGTCAGTAAACCATAAATCACTCATTTACAAAGCTAGAATTTTATACAGACCAAGAGAGATTTTATATAAACTAAGAGAGACCCTAATATCATTAAGTATTCAATGAATCACATCCTGGTTAATAAGAATGCTTCATAAAAGGATTTACCTTTACTTCAAAGAATCCCTGTATACTTAGCATACGTAATGTGTTCTTTCTCTGAAAAAAGTAGATTGCATAACTGTTTCCTGTACCATATTAAGCTATACTGACTATTATGAGAGTTATTCTTAAATGTTGGCCATTCAAAAACCTAAATCATTTCATTTACACAAACCCAAAAACTTTTACTAAGTCATCTTAGGATAAAGCTGTTGGGTAACTACTGAAAATATACACCTATGTGAACTATTTTTATTTATCCTTTATACCAACCAAATAACTGTTTTGCATCCCAACTGCTATTTGAAATTATAAGCAAACTGGAAAAATGCTTTTTAAAATCCAAGTTAACTGGAGATATTCCTTTTGATAACTAAAATCTTTTTCTTAAGAAAAGATTTACCATGTCATTAAACATTAACATCCGTCCTTACCATCAGGATCTACCTCTCTGGAAATTTTCAGCGCCTCTGACGTTGCCATATCTGTATTTGCAGCAGTGACAGCAAGGATAATGGAATTGGGATTACTGATGAACCGAAGGATGAGCTCTCTGATTTGAAGCTCAATATCCTTAGGCTGATCACCTACAGGCACCTAAACCAAACAGCATGAGCAAGGAACTAATGAAAATCACCACAGCTTCCCCTACCACCAACCATTTAATTCATACAACACAGGTATTTCTCCACTTACAAACAGTTAAAACAAGCTAATAATGCATAGTGGTATTAATGAATTTGGTAATGTACAAATCCTCAAAATATAACTCTTGGAAATATCAAAAACTTACTATTGTGTGTTTACTAAATGCAATCTTATAGGACTGGTGACTACTACTAATTGCATACAGATAAATTCATTCCTTCATTACATGTTTCGTGGCAGAATCTGACATTCTTTTTACTTTTTTTTAAATTTTATGTGTATGAGTGTATCGCCTGCATGTAAGTGCACACATGTTGTGCCATGTCACCAAAGGTCAGAAGAGGGCATCGGATTGGATCTTAGACACCATGTGGGTGCTGGGATTCGAACCCAGGTCCTCTGTAAGAGCAGTGTTCATAACCACTGAACCATCTCTCCAGCCCCAGAATCTCGCACTCTTACATGTTGGATTATGTTACAGTGGTGAAACAGAAAAAAAACAGTCCCAGCCTTTCAGAGTGCGTGTTTTAGTAATACTTGAATGTAAAGCCTAAATGATCACCAAGGGGTACAAAGGGCCATCAAGGAAACAAAACAGAACAGTTGGCCAGGGAATGATCTGAGAGGATTAAACTTTTCAATTATTGCATTAAATTCACTGTGTTTTAAAAAAAAAATCAGGGACAACTTCACTAAGACAATGAAATTTGAGCCATTCAGTAGAAACTAAAGGCAAAAAGAAAAGGTACATATACATATTTGGAAAAAGAATATTCCAGACCTAATAAATTAGGACAAGAGCCTGAAACAAAAGAAACCAGAGAAGAATAAAGCATAAGTGAGTAAAAGTGGTGACACATGCCTGTAATCCTGCAACATAGGCAGTTCAAGGCTGCCCTGGGCTGTAGACCATGTCTGGGGGGTGGAGGGGGGAGGGGCTGTAAGAACTTAATCTTGTACTCTCAGTAAAGTAAGATCTAGGAAGTCACTGAAGAGATTTTAAGGTAAGAAATGACACAATCTAAGTTTTACTTAAATAGAATCATTGTGGCTACTTAAGAATAAAAAAATAAGGAAAACCTATTATTATTACTCTAATTCAAGTAAGATGACAATGGCTAGCTCAGACAGAAATTGGCTAAGGAATGATGAGAGTTCTGAATATATTAGGCAGATAAGGAAAGTCAGGAGGATTTGCTGAAAGAAAATGGGGTAAAAGGTAAAGAAATACTAAGGACGGCTATAAGGTTTTTGGCTGAACAGTTAGTAGAGAGAAGTTGTTTTATATTGAGATACAGAAGGAACAAAGGACAGGTCAGGAATTTCATATTAGACACAAAGTCTGATGCTTATACATTTAAATGTGTATATCCAATAGGATACATTTCTGGAAATAGTATGAATGTTAACATATTGAAACTCATGTACATAAAACTGGATGTACTATCAAGGGGTAAATGCAATAGTAGCTGGATGTTATAGGAGTAATCGTTCACCTTCTGGTTGGATTTAAGGCCAACTTCACAGGAATGAGCCCTTACCTGAGATTGACATCAGGCCTAGGAACCTGTAGCTAGACAGGTCGCAGGCCATAGGGGAAAACGTACTACTATTAATTCTATCAAATGTACATAGAATTGAAATATTCAACCAACTTCTAATGACTTCTTATTATACCCACAGATTAATGCATCTCTCAACTCAAACCAGAGAAGCTTCCTCATGCAACAGATGGTGATTAACACAGAGACCAATGTGCACAGAATAAGAGACTGGAGGATGCCTATCCCTGAATAGGACACCTATATCAAACCTCTGCCTCCAAAGGTTCAGAGATCATTGCAGAAGCGGGATGTAAAGATTATAAAAGTCAGGGGTGGTGGATGACCACAAGAAAACAAAAGTTTTCCAGAGCACTCATATGAACTCACAGTTAATGATGACAGCATGCACAAGACCCATGTAAGCTCAAGTCAGACAAAAATCCCAGCAGAGTGGGGAAGTGGGTAAGAAGCCCAACCCTAGCTAAGGAACTACTGGTAACTGATGACTACTGGGGAAGGGAGAGTCTGTCTCCTTTAGTGATGCTGCAATAGATTAACCAGGCTGCAGTAGATGGGCCCACACTGAAGGGCATTTGGGGACAGAAATTTGACTCAATAGGTCTTAAAACAGAGTACATAAAATCAGGAGGGGCTATTAGAGGAGAGAGTCTAAATATGATTAAAATGCATGAAATTCACAAAAATCCAATGAAAAATGAAAAAACTTAAAAAGTGGCCTGTGAAATTATACACCAAACTGTGGAGTGAAGTATCCTGAAAGACAAGGTAAATAAAGTGTTAAAGAGAAAAGGGGATCACTATATAATTATGTTTTAATAGTACTAGAAATTGAAAATCCAACTCATTATTCTCATAAGAGGTTAAGGGAGGGAGGGAGGGAAGGAGGGAGGGAGGGGAAGGACATTTGTTCTCATGAAAACATGACCAATCCCACCATGAGTAACAACCTCCTCACCTTAGTCATTCCTGGCAAATCCACAAGTGTCAAATTGACAACATTGGGTGAAAAAATCTTAAGATGAATTGGTTCAGGACTTACTCCCTAAAAACAAGATTTAAAACATGTTAAGTTTACAGTAAATTTCAATGAATTATGAAATACTAAAACTTCAAGTATACAGACCAGATGTTTTTAGATATTTAATAAACTATGATCCCTAAAATTTTTCAGTAATGAAAACCTAATGAAATGAATGAGAAGGCCCCCAACCAGTAACTGGATGTAACCCAACCAGCCCCATACCACTAATACAATTTCTTTTTCCTACATTATTTCACTTTCTTTTTGCCACTTTTTAAGTATGTTTAACAGACTCAGTGCTTACTAAAAGAATAATTTATTCCTTATTATCCAAATTTATGCTGTTCCTGAGTTGATGTTCTAAGTTTATAAAGTGATAGATTAGAAGCTATTCACATCAATTTGGTTCCCGATCTATGAATATCAAGTGGCAAAGGTGTGTATGGTAAGAGTGTGTTCAGGCAACTTCTCTCAATTTTCAGATCCTCCAATTGAAATGGTAAAGATATAAACAGTGAGAGATACCTATATTTTCTCTTCTACATTTCAAGATTACTGAATAGAACCCCCCTCATCACCACCAGTCCTCTATAAGTTTTAGGGCTGGGTCAGCTCTATGTAGAAAGATACTTAGGAGATGTTCATATCTTGACTTGGTACATGCTTTCTTTACATGTCATCTTATCTATTTTTCCACTTTCTTCTAATATCCCAAGAAGCTTTTATTGGAACATCCTTCTGTCTGAGTTACTTAACACTTTCATTTCTTAACTTACTCTGAACTTTTTCTGTTTTAAATACTCCAGTGTTTCAAAAGCACAAAATATCATTATCTGGTCCACTTAGATTCTATCCCTCAGGGTCTTTACTGCAATAATATTCCCTTACTATGTCCAATTCAAAACACAGTGCAAATACCATTACAACTCCAACCCTATGTCTTAAATCTTTCAGGGCTGTATGTTTGGGCTATGAAATCATTTACATATCCCATTATTTATCAAATTACATCACACAAGTATTTTTAACAAACATGAAACCAGAAAGGTAGTTTTCACTTATTAGAAGTTGGCAGACTTTTCATGTTTTAGACATCAGAGAAAATCTACAAGTTAAGCAAACTGTACCTCAGTGCCCAAGTTTATAGATTCAGTATAACTAGAAGCATTCATTTCTAAGTCACCAGTTTCATATGCTCTCTAAATTCTGATATTATGTAAAATTACCACTAATTGCTGAGAGTTCAGTAAGTATACGGAGATTGTAGGATAGAAAATTCAGACTGGTGTCATAATAAAAGCCAAAGTTATCTCTGACATAACCTAGCTATATTCCTGATATAATTTAGTTACAATGTGGCTATTAGAAATTCAGGTGAGCATGGCAACAGCAGCAGTAACTTGAGATTACCAGCTTAGAGTTTAACACTGAGCAAAACAGTCAATCACTTAAAGACACAAATACCCTGAATAGGCATAAAAACAACACAGCTACAAAAATACCTTTTTGTCAAGAAATAACTTCCACAATCTGGTAATAAATATGTATTGAATAGTAATACTATGCTATAGACCAAATGTGCCTCCAGGTAATACAGAATAGAGATAAAAAGAGAAAAATTAATAATAAAGGATACAAAAACAGGTTTAAGTAAGGCGGTGACAGTGGCCAATTTAACACTATGTTAATGTTAGACACCTGATTTAAATCTTCACAATCTTAGAAAATAAATAATCAAATGTTAATATATTATCTCTATTTTGACTTTTTAAAAACTACCTAGTTTTTAGCTCTGCTCTAGTAAGTAAATCTAGCCTTAAAAAATTCACTATGGCAGTATTAAGAATCACATAATCAAGTACTATGTAATTAAGATCAAGAAAAACATAAATGAAGTATTTAATATATAAAGGTTTTATATAAATAGAAACGCTTTAGGCAGGTGTGGTGGTACATGCCTTTAATTCCAGCAGTAGAGGGATGAATCTCTGTGAGATAGAAGTCAGCCTGGTCTACATATTGAGTTCTAGGCCAGCTGGGGCTACAGGGAAACTGTTTCAAAAAAAAGAAAAAAAAAAGAAAAAGACTTTAAAAATAAAAGTGTGTGTGTGTGTGTGTGTTAGAGAGAAAGAGAGAGGCAGAGGCAGAGAGAGACAGAGACAGAGAGAAACAAAGAGAGAACTTGACAGGATCTAGAATCACCTGGGAAATGAGCCTCTGGGTATGCCTGGGAACTGTGGAGAACTGTCCTGGTTACTTTAATGATGTGAGAAGCCCCAATTCATTGTGACTAGGACCTTAGCTATGTAAGTAGAGAAAGCCAGCTGAGCACAAGCCTACATTCATGCACGTATGCATTCAACACTCTTCTTTCTGATTGTGGATACAATATGACCAGCTGCTTCACCTCCTTCTGCTGTGACTTCTCACCGTGATGGACTGCAACCTGGCAACTGTGAACTAAATAAACAAACCCTTTCCATTTAATTTGCTTTGTTTTAAAAATATTTTTATTTATTATTTTTATTTTTATGCTTGTGAGTATACTGACTGCATGTATGTAAGTGTACTGATGTCATGCAATGCCCACAGGAGTCAGAAGAGGACGTTGGATCCCCTGGTAACTACCATGTGGGTACTAGGAAATGAACCTGGATCCTCTGAACCATCTCTTCAGCCCCATTCTGTAAGTTGCTTTTGTCACAGTATTTTATCACAGCAATAAAAAGGATAGTGTGTGGTGCTGAAGACCTAACCCAGAGCTTAAACTAAACAAATACACCCTTGTGCCAATGTAAAATTAATTTTCTGTTAAATTCTTAGAGAACAAAATTAAATTATGTGTTAGGGTGGGGTAGTTTAGTTTGAAGCACTTAACTTTCTCATATACTTAGAAGTAGGTCAAACTTTTACCAAATTTCCTTTAGATGAATTCCAAAGTGTAATGCTAATTTAAAGGCCAAAATTGAACTATGTGTTATATACCTCAGAACAGTGTCAACATAAATTTGAAAGACTAAGTTTATTTGGGAAAATAAAATTTTGAACTAAAACAAAGGTTTTGTGTTTTTTTCTTGAATGCAAGTACATATGCTTTATAGAATAATGCTTTAAAAATATATGTGTATGTATATATATATATATAATTTGAATCTTTACTCCCATTTATAAAAGCAGTTAGTTGTCCCTCTGAAGCAGTGAATAGTAAAAGAAAAAGTGAATAGTAAAAGGAAAAAGGTCAACTCAGTACTTCTGTACAAGAGACAGTGCCTTTTGGATTGAGTTCATGAAAGTGAAGAGTTAATGTTTTGTGATGTTCTGTTCTGCTAAATTTAATGTATATTTCAAAGAAGACACCTAATAAATGGTTAGTCATGGCTAATAGGCTCATTGTTTGTACTTACTAATTCTTAAAGTTTTTAAAAGATGTACTTATATTTCCTGAGTTCTCTCTCTCTCTTTTTTTAACCAGTTTCTCTTTTCCATAGTAGACTGTCAAATATCTGAGGCACATTTGGTCTATAGCATAGTATTACCATTCAATACATATTTATTACCAGATTGTGAAAGTTATTTCTTGACAAAAAGGTATTTTTGTAGCTGTGTTGTTTTTATGCCTATTCAGGGTATTTGTGTCTTTAAGTGATTGACTGTTTTGCTCAGTGTTAAACTCTAAGCTGGTAATCTCAAGTTACTGCTGCTGTTGCCATGCTCACCTGAATTTCTAATAGCCACATTGTAACTAAATTATATCAGGAATATAGCTAGGTTATGTCAGAGATAACTTTGGCTTTTATTATGACACCAGTCTGAATTTTCTATCCTACAATCTCCGTATACTTACTGAACTCTCAGCAATTAGTGGTAATTTTACATAATATCAGAATTTAGAGAGCATATGAAACTGGTGACTTAGAAATGAATGCTTTCAGTTACACTGAATCTACAAACTTGGGCACTGAGGTACAGTTTACTTAACTTGTAGATTTTCTCTGATGTCTAAAACATGAAAAGTCTGCCAACCTCTAATCAGTGAAAACTACCTTTCTGGTTTCATGTTTGTTAAAAATACTTCTGTGATGTAATGTAATTTGATAAATAATGGAATATGTAAATGACTTCATAGCCCAAACATACAGCCCTGAAAGATTTAAGACATAGGGTTTGGTTTTCTTTTGTAAGAGGCACCATCCCGCTGGCCTTGAGCTCACTCTACCTCCCTAGTACTGGGAATTCAGATATGAATCACAACAATGTGCACCAAAAGGAATATTCAGCAAGATTTAAAATTTGTGAAATACTCGGTTTCAAAGATGAAGATTATGAACTCATAAGCCAAACCTATTGGCACAGGATGGAACTGCCAGATGATAATCAGGAGGCTGATATAGGAAGGTCTCAAGCTCAAGCCAGGCCTGGGTAATTTATAATAATAAACTGACCCTGTATCAAAATTTTTAAAAGGGTTTGGAATATAGCTCAATGACAGAATACTCTCACAGGCCTGAACTTCTCAGTAATAACAAAAAAAAACAAGGTTATGAATTTACAAAGCACTTCACATATTATATTTAGGACATATTCAATGATACTGTTGTTTATGAATTCTAGGTCTGAAAAAAATGCCTACCTTATTATTTCCTGAAATTCTTTCTGTTTCATTTTCAATTTCTTGTCGAATTTCATCAAAATCCGTGTAAAGCTAAAAATTGGAACCAAAAGTACCAATTCAAACCAGTGTAGTTAGAAATGTTACTGAAACAAGATTTATTTTACAAAAAAACAAGCTCATTGCCTACTATTTTTTTCAAAATATTTTTTCTTTTTAAAATATTTTATTTTTATTTTATGTGCATGAGTGTATTGCCTGCATATATATAACTGCACCCGTGTCATGCAATGCCTGCAGAGGTCAGAAGGAGTTGGATCCCCTGGAAGCGGAGTTACAGACGGTTGTTAGCCATCATGTGGGTGCTGGGAATCAAACCTGGGGCCTCTGCAAGAGCAGTCAGTGCTCTTAACTGCTGAGCCATCTCTCCAGCCCCCAAAATATAACTTTCTATGTGCTACTTCTTCACTATATCACTGAGTGATTACCTTATTTTTGGTGTGAAGAAATTTACCCCATTCTTCTGCTTCTACTCCTAGAAAAGAAAAACTCATTCCTTAGAAACCAGAAAATACTTTTTACAGCTAGGAATTTTAAAAGGTAACACTTAAGGTAAACTTTTCCCAATAACTCCAAGTTAACAAGTGTTTTAGAATCTGTTATATACACGTCACATTTAAAATATTACAGCAAGTAATTCAAAAGCATGATTCACTTCAAGTGGAGTTGCTTTCAAGTCTTCCCAGCACTTGAAATCTAGTTTTCATAGATAAATTGCTCACTTCCTGTTTTGTTTGTGAAAATAAACTCTTTAAACATCTTATACATGAAAGCAGTTTATCCAATGAAAATATTTAAGGTAAAAGCTAAGAAAAAAAAATAATTCCATTGAATATGTAAAGAACATAGAACAAACTGGTGCACATCATTTAAGTTAAAAATAGGCATGCAATATATGAATGAAATAGCCAACTTTTCTGTTTACTATTATTGTTGTCTTTTAATTTGGTTCCTTTTGCTATATATAGTTACTATTTCTTCCTTTTAAAGAGCTCTCTCATTAGCAGGGTAATGCTGTCAAGGTGATTTCTCCCAAGTCTATGTTTTTTCATACAACTGTAGGAAAGAAATGAAAGAAGAAAAGCAAATAAAAATAAAAAAATATATGGACTTGATATTCTCCATTAGTTTCTAGTCACAGTCTGTTCCTTCAGGTACCTCTATTAAATACAGCTATTTTGCTTTCACCAAGTTCCGAAGTTGAAAATATCTTATTAAAGTAATGTGTTAATCAGCCACCTGAAATTGAAATAAAAGTAACTGTAAGATATCTATTTAATTATTTAGGAAAAGGTGTATCCTTTCTTTTGTGGAATAAAGGTGTACAGAACTGGATCCTTTTTGCAAGTAAAATGCTCACCTACTTGAAGCTTAGTTTAGTACCTTCTTCCAAGGAGTCTCTTTGAAGGACTGGAATAATCTAGATGAATAGAACTCACAGAGGCAGTACAAAGGGATGTTTTTAATTTACTTGGTCATATAAATGATTACTACCTTCACAAGCATGTTTTTAAAAGATAAAATAAAAATAAATTCACCACCAAAAGAGGCTGCATTTTAATGCAATGCCAAAATAATAAGAGCCACTAAAACCTGCAATCAATGTGGACAGGCAAATAAAAATGGAAGAAAAAGATGCACACAGCCTGTAAGGGTACATGACACACATGCAGGCATAATAGAAAAATGGCTATAAACAAATGGATAAAGGAAACCTTTAGAAAGGTGTCTTGAGTTTTTCCATGTAGCAGGGTCTGTAGTTAAAGAGAAACAGCACAAAGTAAGTTTAGTGCTTATCCCTAAAATTTTAAACCTTTAAAAAAAATCAATGTGTAAAAACATTACGTTTCAAATGCACACAGCATTTAACTACTCAAAACTTACTAGAATTGCAGGGATGAATACATTTTTAAGTACTATAAGCAAAGCATATGGTGTGCAATGCTTCAACTTAGTATTTTAGTAAACGATTTCCATTATGATTATGTTACCACTGTTTCTAATTCTAAATGTATTAAAATTGTTTACCACTGAAAACTTTGCCTCAGATATTTGACAGTCTACTATGGAAAGGAAAAGAGAAACTGGTTAAAAGGAGAGAGAGAGAGAACTCAGGAAATATAAGTACATCTTTTAAAAAACTTTAAGAATTAGTAAGTACAAACAATGAGCCTATTAGCCATGACTAACCATTTATTAGGTGTCTTCTTTGAAATATACATTAAATTTAGCAGAACAGAACATCACAAAACATTAACTCTTCACTTTCATGAACTCAATCCAAAAGGCACTGTCTCTTGTACAGAAGTACTGAGTTGACCTTTTTCCTTTTACTATTCACTTTTTCTTTTACTATTCACTGCTTCAGAGGGACAACTAACTGCTTTTATAAATGGGAGTAAAGATTCAAATTTTATATATATACATACACATATATTTTTAAAGCATTATTCTACAAAGCATATGTACTTGCATTCAAGAAAAAAACACAAAACCTTTGTTTTAGTTCAAAATTTTATTTTCCCAAATAAACTTAGTCTTTCAAATTTATGTTGACACTGTTCTGAGGTATATAACACATAGTTCAATTTTGGCCTTTAAATTAGCATTACACTTTGGAATTCATCTAAAGGAAATTTGGTAAAAGTTTGACCTACTTCTAAGTATATGAGAAAGTTAAGTGCTTCAAACTAAACTACCCCACCCTAACACATAATTTAATTTTGTTCTCTAAGAATTTAACAGAAAATTAATTTTACATTGGCACAAGTGGGGATAACAAAGAAAAAGCTAAGAATTCTATAAATTTACATATGACCACTCAACTGTCCGAAACAGCTAGCAAAATAAAAGACTTCAATAATGTTAAATTAAACTTCCTGACAATTATATACATCAAACACAGAGACCTATTCAAAATTATACTTCTCCATGTCATCTTAGAATGAATGCACTGCTCTTAACACATTATTGATAACATGAGTCTCTGTTATATGATAAAACCTCCAGAAGCTTTATTTACAAATCCTTACACAAAAAGGCTTAGGGTTTGCTTTTAAATTTTTGGTGGCTTTTTCCTCCTAATGTTTTTCCCTGTACTCTCTCAATGTCAAGCTGTTACATTGTTCATGCTTTTTTAAACTAAACTGTTAATCTGCTTCATAGTTTCTAATCAATCTGGATTAGAATGATTTATTGATAAGCTAGAATTACTTATCCCAAGGATAAAGGTCTTTGATGAGACAATAAAGACAGCCAAAGATATCTCAGTAGGTAATAGTTCTTGCTGCCAAGCCTAATGACCAGGGTTCACAACCCCTAGGATCTACACGGTAGGAGAGAACCGAACCCCATAAGTTGTCCTCTGACCCCCAGATAACACTCCATGGTGAACCCCCCTTGAAAATAAATATAAAAAGAAATTTAAGTCAATGAATTATGCTAATATACGCATGAAATTAGTGCTCAGACTTGAATATCTATTTTATACAAAGTAGTTGTTATTGGGTGTGGAAGTGTGACATGTGGGTGGAAGTATAAATATGCCGACACATATTATAGGCACTAAGCTCAGGAAAAATACCTGTGCAGGCAACAAGATAGCTTTACTGAACTAATACCACATCAACAAAACATAGAAGACACACAGGCAAAGAGATACCAAGGAACTGATGTATTTATAATGGAAATATATAGCCCCTTTTTTCATTTTCTGGTTTCCTTTTGTGAGACAGGGTCTCACTATGTAGCTCTGGCTGACCAGGAATTTGTGATGTAGACCAGGCTGGCCTCAAGCTCAGAGATCTGTTTGACTCTGACTCCCCAGCACTAAGTGAGATTAAAGGTATGTGCCACCACATCCGACCCTATATATCCTTTCTTAACAAGCAAAATTCTATCTAAGGAAATACTGCCCACATCTGCAAATAGTCTCTAATAGATACCTGCCCTTTCTTTTTTCTTTTCTGTATTATCTTTATTTTTATGTAAGTGTATTGCCTGCATGTATGTAAGTGCACCAATGTCGTGCAATGCCCACAGAGGTTAGAAGAGGGCATCAGATCCCCTGGAACTGGAGTTTCAGACATTGTTAGACACCATGTGGGTACTGGGAAGCAAACCTGGGTCTTCTGCAAGAGCAGCCAGTGCTCTTAACCTCTGAGCCTGACACCAGCCTTTTCAAAGTGACTAAAGAAAATTAAAAAATTAAAAAGACCTAAAGTCATATACTTCCGAAAGTCATGGCTTAAGGTAAATCTGTTTGATCAAATCACTGAGAATGAAATTCTTAAAATGTTATTCTATATATTTAAGGCTCAGCCACAAGTTACCCGAAGAATGACTAAATTCAAGGTTTAAACTTTCAGTAACCTAGGCATAGTGATGCATGCCTGTAATCTCAGAATTTGGGACACAGACATATGAGTATTACTACAAATTCTAAGCCAGCCTGGTCTACACAGTAAATTATAAGCCAGCCACAGGCTACTTAGCAAGACCCTGTCTCAACAAGCAAACGAATAAGAACTTCAATAATAAATATTATAAAGATACAGAGTAATTAATAATATGCCAAGAAGATACCTAATATAATTAAAAAATTTCTCCAGTAGTCTATCATAAAATATTACTTGTTAGTATTTACAAGCTCGGTATCAGTGATTCTAAAGTTACTGCTGAAAGGTCATAGTAGATGATCATGACAAGTTTTTCACATACTTTAAAATAAAAACAAAGCAATTACCACAGAGAGCTTCTATAAATAAATGAAGGAAAAAAAAATCAGACGCAGGAAACTATCATCCCATCTCAAATCAGAAAGTTAAGTAGAACAAAACTACACTGAAAACACATCTCTGCAAATAAGAGGTAGCCAAAGCACTTTCCTACAAAAGCTATCTTAAAAGTACAGCAATTTTACATGCTTTCATGAGATGAAGTCTAAGTCACTGCTAAACAAGAATACTGAATGTATTACTCCCAAACATTTCAAATCTTGCTAATAATTAATATAGGATATATATATAAGCAATTTAAAACCTCCTAGTAGATTCTTAAAATACTTGAATTTTTACAAATCCAACCACATATGACAATTCATATTTTTATACTCTGGTTTTGATATTCATATAACACATTAAAAAAAAATCCAACCTAGTTTAATCTAAGCCAGTAGGTCAAAGGAGAAGATCTTTAAAAATAAAAACAGAGATAGAGATAAAATATAGATATAAGCCTTACTATGAGGAGAATAAAAATTAGTAATAATTTAAAAACTGAAACTCTTCCTACATCTGGGTGGGGTAGCACATGCCTATATTTGGGAAATGGAGGCAGAAGGATCAAGAGCTCAACGTCATCCTTGGCTACATGATGAGTCTGACGCTGGCCTGGACTACACTGGAGACAGAGCAAGAACTCTTCCTAAAAATAACATTCCTGGGGCTGGAGAGATGGCTCAGCAGTTAAGAACACTGGCTGTTCGCTCAAGACCCAGGTTCAAATCCCAGCACCCACATGGAGGCTAACAACTGTCTGTAACTCCAGTTCCAGGGGATCCAACAGCCTCTTCTTTCCTCTGTGGGCACTGCACGACACAGGTCCATTTACCTACAGGCAGGCAACACATACATACACATAAAATAAAAATAAATTTAAAAAAAAGAACATTCCTGTTAAATGAAGGGAAAAAGAATCCAAGTTTGTAAGCACATGGTAAGATCAGAGAGAGCAAGTAAAACAGCAGTGCTAAATAAACTAAAAGGCAGTAAATCTGATTTTATTTAAAATGGAACCTTGGGGGTGGAAAACCATCTACTACCTCAGCTACTCTTGCAGAGGACTCAGGTTTGGTTCCCAGCATCCACATGGCTGCTAACAACCATTCGTAAATCCAGTTCCGGGGGATCTAACACCCTCTTCTGGCCTCCAGGGGCACTGTACAACACTGGTGTACTTAATACACATACAGGCAAAACATTCATACAGAAAATAAAAATAATTTTTAAATTTGAAAAAAAGAAGAATATTTTTGGCTAGGCATGGTGGAAACACTCCAAAAGATACTTAAAAACATTTTTTTACTAGGCATGGAAGCACGCACTTATCATTCCAGCCCTCAGGAGGCTGAAGCAGGAGAATCATGAGCTCAAAAGCAGCCTGAAATGTGTTGTAAGCTCCTGTCTCAAAACAAATAAACAACAACAACCAAAAAAACACAAGCACTGGGTTTCTGACACCACAGTAGAATGTTTGCCTAGTATGTGCAAGACCCTGGGGTCAATGCCTAGCACTGAAAAAAACCAAACAGCTTCTTGACCCAGGTTCAAATCCCAGCACCCACATGGAGGCTAACAACTGTCTGTAACTCCAGTTCCAGGGGATCCAACAGCCTCTTCTTTCCTCTGTGGGCACTGCACGACACAGGTCCATTTACCTACAGGCAGGCAACACATACATACACATAAAATAAAAATAAATTTAAAAAAAAGAACATTCCTGTTAAATGAAGGGAAAAAGAATCCAAGTTTGTAAGCACATGGTAAGATCAGAGAGAGCAAGTAAAACAGCAGTGCTAAATAAACTAAAAGGCAGTAAATCTGATTTTATTTAAAATGGAACCTTGGGGGTGGAAAACCATCTACTACCTCAGCTACTCTTGCAGAGGACTCAGGTTTGGTTCCCAGCATCCACATGGCTGCTAACAACCATTCGTAAATCCAGTTCCGGGGGATCTAACACCCTCTTCTGGCCTCCAGGGGCACTGTACAACACTGGTGTACTTAATACACATACAGGCAAAACATTCATACAGAAAATAAAAATAATTTTTAAATTTGAAAAAAAGAAGAATATTTTTGGCTAGGCATGGTGGAAACACTCCAAAAGATACTTAAAAACATTTTTTTACTAGGCATGGAAGCACGCACTTATCATTCCAGCCCTCAGGAGGCTGAAGCAGGAGAATCATGAGCTCAAAAGCAGCCTGAAATGTGTTGTAAGCTCCTGTCTCAAAACAAATAAACAACAACAACCAAAAAAACACAAGCACTGGGTTTCTGACACCACAGTAGAATGTTTGCCTAGTATGTGCAAGACCCTGGGGTCAATGCCTAGCACTGAAAAAAACCAAACAGCTTCTTCCCTTAAATAACTGGTTGCTATTTAATGACTCTTGCACTGGATTCTCTACTAAATACCATTACTAACAGTTTACTAGGCTGAATTACTCAGAAGTGACTATTAAGGGACTATTCCCAACAACTTTCCTCAGTGTTTTAAACAAAAATTACTTTTTTTTTTACGTTAAAGAAAGATGAATACTACTTTTCACAGGATTTCTAATTTTTTTATGGCCACTAATTTCTAATTTTCTAATCAAGTTTTTAACTTTAAAATTCATCCTAATAGACCAAAAATAAATATTTTTAAATAATTCTTACTCCAATTCTGAAATTTACCATTTTCTTCTCCTGCTGTTTTGCGTTTATCTTCTGCTGAAACATGGACCAGCTGCAGAATGAGGGGTCTCCGTGTGACAATGCCTGTCCCTCTGGGAAGTAGGTCCCTTCCCACTAGGCTTTCTAGAACTGAGCTCTTTCCACTGCTCTGAAAACAGAAAAAGGAGTAAATTTTTTTTCTGTTAACAGACTATATAACAAAGTAGTATATAGAGAAGTTAAAGAAAATATCAGTAGAATGAAATTTTATTCTTTTTAAACAATTTGTAGTCTTTTAAAAACAATTCAAATCAGGAAAGAAAAAAAAAAAAAAGCCCACTCAAAGTAAAATCTGTAAGACATCCTGTGTGAGACTATTCCTGAGGAGGTGTGAACAAACATCTGCTCACCCCAGATTATGGAACCAGTGAGGACCAAAGTAAGGACACCACCAAAATCCAACTTGGTAAACCAATTAGTTTTATTGGGGTTACCTATAGGAATACAGATGAAGGGTTACTAACAGGAACAGAAATGACTCAAAGACAGTTGCATCACCAAAAGCCCAACCCAATGTAGGTGACAGTTCACCGAAGCTGGAAACCTGAAGTGCACTGCCCAGCCTGCAGGCAGGTAAACAGGTTGGCGACTGTCTTCTGCGTGGCTCTTCTAGCAGCTCTGCTTATCTGAAAACAGTTTTTATACATTCTTAGGGCTTATATATGTTTGGGAAGGAAGGAGCCTAGTGAACCTGGTCAGCTGCAGCAACTTCCTGAAGCTCTTGAGTTGCTATTTCCTGAGCTTAATGAGCATCCCTGCAGATGGAGTGTTTCACCTCCACTCATATCTTCCTGTGGCCTACCTCCCTTCAGATACCCTGCTATTTAACCAAGCTTTCCTCCAAGATGGGAGGGTTTTTTTAAACTTTTTTAAAATTTTTGTTTATTATTTTAATTTTATGTGTGTAAGTGTATTGCCTGCATTTATCTGAGTGCACCCATGTCGTGCAATGCCGCGGAGGTCAGAAGAGGGCTTCAGATTCCCCTGGAACTGGAGTTAAGGACAGTTCATAGCCGCCACGGGTGCTGGGAATTGAACCTGGGTCCTCTACAAGAGCAGTCAGTGCTCTTAACCGCTGAGCCATCTTTCCAGCCCCAAGATGGAAGGCTTTTAACCAGGAGAAAGCTGTTCCACAACAGAGCCCTACTGTCCCAAAATTTTTCTACTTTTTAAGATATTCCCCCAACCAGGTCTTAAAATTTGAATACTGGTGCCCATAATATACAATTATTTTACTTCAAATGGGGCAGTACTGCATATATTTTCCTAACTTGATTTTATTTTTAATATAATGACTGGGGACACCATTCCATAACAATAGATTCACAATGTCTGATGGAGTGCCACAGCTTCAGAAAAGGCAGACAACCCACCCTGCTGCCAGGATGTGTCTCTGCTGTCTTTGCTCTACTGCTACTGGCGGCTGAAACCGCTTCTCTGTTTTGCTCATGCAAATAGCTCCAGGAAAGGGGACCATGTGTTTCCCAAGAACACCTGACCTCAGACTCCACAGCTATGTATGTTCTCTTTATTTCCCAACCCTATATGATATACAACAATTCCCTTCCCCCCAGCACAACTTTTCATTCCACCCAGGGTAGGCTGTTGCCCCTTGCTGAATAAACACAGTTCAGTCTGCTGAAAGGTCTGACTCTGGTCATTTATCTAAACTTTATTCTTTCTCTCTGCTCTTCTAAATCTAACAACATCTATGTTTATTAGTTAAACTGTGTGGAACTAAATTTCAGTGCACTGAACTATTGAATGTTTTTGCTATTATTAAAAATGCTGCAAAGAGCTGGTGGGGTGGCGAACACCTTTAGTCTTAGTACTCGGGAGGTCTCCAATCAGAAGTCAGAGAACATGGACAAATTGACACTGTCCAGAAAGTCCCCTGTGATAGAGAACAGAATGCTGGGTGAAGCGGAAGGTCAAGTTGAAGAGCTGCTGCTCATCTTGGAACTGGACTTCAGGCTTCAGTATTCAAGTTTACAGTTTCTCACTCAGCAAAGCAGCTTGCTTTCTATCATTTCCTTTCTATATTCAAAATCATTTAAGCAAATTTTTCCTCTTCTTTTTAAGTTTGACAACCATTTTCAAGTGGAATAGCCTAACAGTTAAAAATATGCTCAGAATTTGTTGGGTTTTGTAAGTGTTTGTGTTCTTTCTCTGGCCAGACTTTCCAAATGGCTATTTCTTGATTTTTATAGACCAAACCTGTCTTTTATTAATTTTGATTAAAAAAATTATACTATTAATCCCCCCCACTTCCTGACCCAAGAAAATTATCTGTTTTCAAAGTCCTTAAGTCAAATGCTTAGCTTATTTCACTATCTCACCTAACACCTGCACCTTCCTATCTGCCCCATATATAAGCACGTATCTCCCAATCAAGTCACTTTCTTCCATAAGAACTGTCTCTCAACAGGTAGTAACAAAATTAGAGTAACACAATAACATGCTTATTTCACATTATACAAATTCTGAAATAATACCTATAAAACTATCTCAATGACTACCAGAAATCAAGCTTTAAAGTTTTATATATGATCCTTCTACTACTCTTTTCCCCTTCAATCTGCTTTAATATGTGTACACGAATGTCACCAACCCTTTGTTTTATTTGTGCTGTTGGAATCTAACAGGGTTTCAGGCATGCTGGGCAAGCACTCCACCACTCAGCCACACCTCCCCACATCATTAATGTGGCTCTACTCCATAAAAAATAACCTTCAGGTTCTAACATACTGGAAACCCTAATTTTTTTTTTTTTTAAGACACCATCTCCCGATTGGCTAGTTCCTCCAATGGGCAGGGCCTGCCGCTGAGCGTGGACTAGGAAGGGAAGCCAGGAGCCCTGGGTAGAGCATGTGGTGTGGGGAATGTGCAGCCAGCGCAGCAACTCAAAGACAGAATGGACTGACTCCTGTGGACCCAGGCAAGATCGCTGGCCCCAGAGGCATGAACAAATGCTATGGGCGTGGCTAGGTCTGATGAGGCAGTACTCATTCCTTTGTAAGTTAATAAATACACATAAAATGTATGGTTTGTCTGATTGCGCAGGAGACCCAGATAGAATTCGGGCCACAGAACTGGCGTAGTCTGACAGGATATGACACAAGACTGAGAATGAGTTTTAGTAGAAAGCTAATGGCAGCACTGATGTGATTTTTGCAATGGGTTACTAAAAAGAGGTCAGCCACGCAGAAGTGTGGGCCACAGCTATGTTGTAAATGTGGGGATATGTTGTAGCTATGTGAAGATTTGCTAAAAGTTACTCAAAGGCTAGAAGATCTTTTATCTGCTCTGGACCCAAAGGGAGATCCCAGAAAAATAGAGCAGCCACTTTGCGTGATAAAAGATGTGCCCCAGGGGGAAAAGCTGAAAAGGAGGCCCAGGTGCAGAGCTGGAGACAGAGGAAAGGTGGGACACTTTGACTTGTAAAGTTCAAGGACTCAGAGAAAAAGACAGATAATAGTAAAAAGGAAGAAAAAGCTAACAGTGCTGTAGCTAGGCAACAGTCCATGCTGGAAGTGTTAAAACTAGGAAAAACTTACAAGCAAGCAAGCAGAAAGCCCCTGGCCACATGGCTTGGGAGAGTATGGGACATGGGAGCAAATGACGCTAGTCTAAGTCCTTCAGAAGCTTCACAGCTGACTTATATAACAACCCGTCTGTCCTTACGATATAGGCTGTTCAACCTAGGCCAATGCAGGGGGGAGCAGTCCTTAATGGGGTGGCTGGTTGAAGCCATTAAAGATACATGGTTGTCACCAAGGGAGACTAACATGATTAGCAGGGGCTGGAGGACTTATAAAGGAGGGGCAGGCATTACTGAGAGAACTAGGTATGAGAAAAGCAATATATGATGTCCAGTTCACTGGGCCAGATGAGAGTGTTCACCAGAGATATGAAAGCTTAATTCAACTGGGACCTCGAGAATGGTATGGGGCTTTAATGGCTTTACTAAGGCCTTTGATGGGACAGGATCTTCATAAAGTGAGAGAGGCTTTGGCAAATCTACATGATTCTGAGCAGCATGTAAAACATGTCTGTGAAATAACAGAACAGCCTATAAGAGATATAAAAAAGACCACACACAGGAAATGGTTCACTTTGGTTACTCGAAGACAAATGTGGCAAGATTTATGTCAAGCCCAAATCCTCAGAGAAAAAAATGATAGAAAACCAAATTCAGTACTAAGGTGTTTCTGGAAGGTTTTAAAACCAGAAGAACAGTTTACAAAGGACATTCTAAGAATAAAAGCTGTACAAGGGGTGGTTAAGAACCCCCAAGTATTAAATAAGATGCATTTCTCTTCTGATCAAGGCTATACTAGGAGTGGGAGCAGGTTTTCCCACCAAATTCTCCCCCAGCAACCTGGTGTGGTCAATGGGAAAATGACAGATGTGGCTACAGTCAGGAGGCAGACCCACAGCCTGTATGGCTCAGGGAACCAACAAGTGCAGGGGAGACAGGTGAAGCCCCTGCCTCCTTAGGCCAGTGCAGGGTCAGGCAACTGGGCCAACACCTGTAAGTGTATCAAGAATAAAAGAATCCAAAGTGATAACTAAAAATTGTAATGAACTAACAAAATTAATGCTTCATATCCATGCTATGGTACCTAACAAGGATCTATGGAGAAAACAGTTAATACGAATGGACAAAACCTTGTCTATGAGCGATTTAATATATAATTGTGCTGGATAGCTTTTGTGTCAACTTAACACACCTGGGTTGAAGGAGCCTCAATTGGGGAACTGACTCCATTGGAGTGGCCTGTGGCCATGTCTGAGGGCATCTTCTTGATTGTTGAGTGATGTGGGAGGACCCAGCCCACTGTGGGTAGTGCCACCCCTGGGCAGGTGGGCCTGTGTTGGATAAGAGAGCAAGCTGAGCAGGGACCAGGGGAGCAAGCCAGTAAGCAGCATTCCTCCATGGCCTGTGCTCTAGCTCCTGCTTCCAGGTTCCTGCCCTGAGTTCCTACCCTGGGCTCCCAGATGAACTGTGACCCGGGAGATGTAAGATAAATAAACCCTTTCCTCCCCAAGTTGGTAATGGTCAGTGTTTTGTCACAGCAATGAAGAACAAACTAAGACAGAAACTGG